CAGGGTGTTTCTATAAAGTTTCCTCCGAACATATGTACACTCTACAGGGTGTTTCTATAAAGTTTCCTCCGAATACATGTACACTCTGCAGGGTGTTTCTATAAAGTTTCCTCCGAATATATGTACACTCTACAGGGTGTTTCTATAAAGTTTCCTCCGAATATATTTACACTCTAAAGGGTGTTTCTATAAAAGTGTTCACCAGGTTTTCAATGATAATTTTCTTTCCTAATATACAGGATATATTATAATGTTTTTTTTTTCTGATTTACAGGGTGTCTTTCAGAGTTTCTTCAGATTTATTTGGTGTAACTGAAAAGTTGTATTCTGATGTATAAATAAGTACCATAGTGATTGGCGATATTATTATTGAAGCTTTCTCTGAACATATATGTACAGGATATAGGTTTCTCCAGATGTACTGTCACATACATTTTACTAGAAGGATATTGTTCATTTGGTGTACCGTCCCGTTTCCCTCATATCTTCGGTATATTTAGTGTACAGTTTGCTCTAGCAGGTTCAACCTTGATATGAACCAGAGTTCCCGGTGCTGGGTGTCTCAAATAAAGTTTTCTCTTAGGTTCTGATTTACTGCAGGGTGTCTCTGATAAATGTTTCTCCCGGAGGTTTCCAAAATAAATTTTCTTCTGTATTTTCCTTTAAGAAACAATTTCATCGGCTTTTATAAATATAAAACCGGGAATTCTTTTTTTATCCTGCTATTATCTGATATTAAATGATTATTATCTGGAGAAAATATCCTGCTATTTTCTGATATTAAATGGCTATTATCTAGAGAAATTATCCTGCTATTATCTGATATCAAATGATTATTATCTAGAGAAATTTATCCAGCTATTATCTGATATTAAATGATTAATATCTAGAATAGAGAAATTATCCTGTTATTATCTTACGTTAAATGAGTATTATCTAGCATTGAGAAATTATCCTGATATTAAATGCCTATTATCTAGATTTGAGAAAGTATCCTGCTTTTATCTGATATTATATGATTTTTATCTAGAAAAATTATCCAGCTATTTTCTGATATTAAATCATTATTATCTAGAGAAAATATCCTGCTATTATCTGATATTAAATGGCTATTATCTAGAATTGAAAATTTATCCTGCTTTTATCTGATATTATATGATTTTTATCTAGAAAAATTATCCAGCTATTTTCTGATATTAAATGATTATTATCTAGAGAAAATATCCTGCTATTATTTGATATTAAATGATTAATATCTAGAGAAATTATCCTGCTATTATCTGATATTAAATGGCTATTATCTAGAAAAATTATCCTGCTATTATCTGATATTATTATCCTGCTATTAGCTGATATTAAATGGTTTTTATCTAGAGAAATTATCCTGCTATTATCTGATATTATCTAGAAAAATTTATCCAGCTATTATCTGATATTAAATGATAACTGTGCTAGAATTGAGAAATTATTGTTAGATCTGTTAATAATTATATACACAATACTACATACAGGATATATTCTTTAACTCTAGCAGACAACTTCGGAATACATAAAAAAAAAAAAATTTAAAAAAATGCAATTTTCGCTGTCAAATTTCAATTTTTATCTTTGTCATTTTTTGATTAAAAATTTTTGTTATTTTTTTCCAATTTCCCTAAGCGTGACTGCAAATTAACCCCTACTTTACGTTCAGGGGAAATTGTTAAATGTTTGTGTTTATACAGTTTCCTC